AAAAAAGTTTGCATTTTAACAGTTCGCACTAAGCGGTTCGCAGTTCGCATTTTACCTAGTACCTGTTTTTTTTTTTATCTTAAAAGCATACTTTTCTAAGACATAAATACCTAATTCTCTATCTTTTTTCCACTTCCATGTGTTGCCAAACTAGTTTATAAAATGATAAGACTTAATTAGAATTTAATTCAAGAAAACTTTCTGTCACGGAGAAAACATTTTACTCCGGAGTAGAACGTCTTAGTTTGTCCTATCCGTCCGTTTACGACAATATACTCCAGAGCAAACTATCCTAAGTTGGAGTCAAGGAGGTTTAATTAACCTTTATTAAAGTTTATTAAACCTCCTTGGTCAGTGTAAACTGCCCTCCTATTTTGCGGATTATAAAGGTTTGAAAGTTTTAAAAATTAAAAAATAAGTTAACACTGACATGTTTAGAACCTTACAATTCCTTTAAGGTTTAAGTTAAAAACCCTAAAAAATCAAATTTCCGTTTTTTTATGTTATCTTGCTTAAAATTTATTCTAGATTCAGAAAATATATAAATTTAAACTCAATATTAAAGGTAAAATTGATTTTTTCAAAGTAAAGTTTTTTCAGCATCTATAACGTTCTTTAGCAACGGCAATTTCCTGACTTTTTAATTAACTATATTTTATATTCTGTACCTAATTAACTTTTGCAACATATATTACTAATATATATCTTTTAAATGTGTTTTAAACAGAATTTGACCTTGAACAAAACATAAAATTGAAAATGAAAACTTAAATTTTTCAGGATGTGCTCTTTAACAATTACTTGAAGGACTGTAGAAGAATTACAAAAAACTCATAATGTTTTAAGTTTTGAACAACTTTCTTAAATAAAAAATTTTTTCTTTTTTCTTAAACTTTTTAGCCATTTTAAAAAAATTTTATTGAAAATTTCCAGGGCAGTAAAAACGTTCTGTAACATTGCAGTAAGTGCATAAGTTTGTGCTAAAACACATGAAAATTTTGTCTTCGAAATGAAATATAAATTGAAACACTGTAAGTTCAGTTTATATAACTTGTATAAAGCAAAGATATAAAATTACAAATATATTAATTTTTGATATCTATTTTATTTATTAAAATGTTGCTTTTAACTTTATTTTCTATGAATATCTTCTAAAAGGAAATTTTTGACAAAAGTGATGAAAAAAACATTTTTAATGTATTTAAATAAATAAAAAGTTACAAATAAAAAACAAAAAAGTCCTTTCTTAAATATATGGTTTAATTTATTTGGTTTTTTAATTAGAATTGAAACATTTACAAATTGATAACACCTTAAAAAATGATTATGTTTGTTTGATTTTCTTCTGATAGTTCTCTTTTCATTCGGACTGTTGGAATAAAACCTGCAACTGTTGGGATAAACCTGTTTAGTTAAGTAATTATTAACATCGAGAAACTCTTGTTCTTCTTTTTCATCTTTCACTTTATCCATTTTATTTTAAGAAACTAAAGTTTTTTGCATCTATCAAACTGGTTGACTTTTGTCAACCAATTTATATATTTTTACAAAAAAAAGTATTCATTTTTAAGCAACAATATTAATAAGCTAAACAGTCGGAAACTGCTTTAGCTTGTCACTGTTCTATTAAATAAACTGTTCCGTTAATGACACACATCTGCCAATACAAATTTGATATGTTTTTTTGATTAGATTATACACTATTTCTAAGAGCACATTAAAAATAGTTAAAATCTACAACAAAACAAATTATCACAATAACATTATGGTATAACAAAACTTATTACTATAAATAAACAGTGGTACAAAAACAACAAGATGTTATCCAACAGTTAAATCATATTTTGCAATGTTAACTGAAAATAAAACTAACCCCACCTTAGTTGAGTTAAATTCAATTTTTCCTTAACTATTGGCTAATGATTAATAAACTAAACTTAAATTCATGGACTTTAAACTAAGCTAATACAATTTTTAAGCTAATGCTACACTTTAAGCTAATACTACTCTTTAACCTAAATTTCTAGCTTTGTTTATCATATATGATAAACAAAACAAAAAAACTTAAACTTGTTTATCATATATATATATATATATATATATATATATATATATATATATATATATATATATATATATATATATATATATATATATATATATATATATATATATATATATATATATATATGATTTTTTCGTTATATATGATAAGTCGAAGCTAGTTTATGCATTAGCTGATTACAACTTGTAAAATCAAATAGTTATCTTACTTGTAGTACAAGATTATTAGATTTTAAATCTGATATAAATATTTATATATATAAGTATATATAAATATATATATATATATATATATATATATATATATATATATATATATATATATATATATATATATATATATATATATATATATATATATATATATATATATATATATAGTTTATAATGCATTTATAATAAACAAAATATACATTATATATTTCATATACTAACTGATGTTCTACATCAAATTTTAATGCAATAATATTAATATTGTAAGAACTAAATAGGCAAATAAGTTTTATTTTAATTTGAAATAAAACATATTTGACTATTTAGTTATTACTATAATAATATTATTGTTGTTGTAATTATTATTGTTAGGGCCGGCGCCAGTATTTTTTGGTCTTTGAGATAGCTAACTTCCAGACATGGAGCAAACTCCAAACATTTATATGTTTTTTATATATTTATATGCCCAAACTTCAAACATTTATATGTTTATACTTATGTCGAATAAGGATGCTTCGCAAAAAATTGCTATGATTGGAGCTTGGGAACAAAAAACCCCAAATTTTGGCCTACCCTGCCCTAAACGTGAGAGCAACAAGTTGATGAAATATTTCTTGTACTATTTTCAATTAGACTTATATTTATCGATAAATTTTAACTTTCATAGTAAAATATTTTAGCGTTCAAAAATTATGACCATATAAAGTTTAAATCGCCGCATGTTGTTAAAGGTTGACTTGACCAAATTTTTAAAATTTAACAAAAAAATTACTTTACAAAAGTATATATGTAATTTGCTTAAATTTTTTATTCAAGTGATTGTTTTTAGTAATTAAATAAATATTAAACACCCACTACCAACGCGTTGATCAATTAATTTTAATTGAACACAAGTCGTTGCAGCGTTGACCACAAACCACAAAAATTTTAAATAATTAAAATTGAAAAAATTTAAACAATTAAACATGATGAAGCGGCAATATTTGCATTATAAACTTTCAGAGGCCAAATGGGAAAAGAAGATTAACAGTACAGTATATGTCGAGGCTGACATCATTTTGAAGGGTTTGCATATATCGGATGATATTTAAACTAATAATCGACTGACAACAATTTCTTAAAATGTACCTAGACAACATCGAGTAAAATTAAAATCTTTGTTTATGAAAATGTCCCTTTTACCGGTTTTTACATCCATTTAAAACAATCATGACAACCATTTAAAATAACCATGACATTCATTAAAACGATGTGATTTTCACTTAACGCATGCGCAATCTCAACATTTTATATTATTTTTTAAAAAAAGGTTTTTTTATATATTTATTTATCTAATATTTTTATAAATTTATTTTTGTTAATATTATATTAATTTATTTTAATTTAATGGAATTTATTTTAAATTTAAATGAATATCATGTTTGTTTTAAATGTATGCAAAACCATATTTTTTTGCGAAATTCTGTTTGCCAAAATACGCGAAAATTTGTATTCAGATTGGTCGTTGGTCAAAGAAAAATTCAATCTTCATGCCGCGAAATTCAGTTTCTCAAAACATGCGAGATCAATTTACAAATGTTTCGCAGTCATTCACGGACAAGAAGAGGAGTAACACCAAACCCGATCATTCGCCCTAGGCAGCGTAACGTTTGGATGATATTGGCCGTCAATGGTTTAAATATTATTCACTGTGAAACTGTCAGTGTGTCAGTCAACACAGTTTTGTTTCAAGAATATATTGATAAAGTTGTACGAGTTTTGGGGACAGAGGAGGAATTCGCCTTGGTAATGGATAATGTCAGAATCCATCATAATGATGAGATGAGGGCTTAGAACATTCAAATAAAATATTTGCCACCATATTCACTATTCTTAAATCCGAGTGAAAAGATTTTTTTTATCTTAAGAATAACGTGCGAAGAAATACGGCCCCAGCTGGAAGAAATAAACTAATTTCAAGAATGCGTGAGGTATGCATATCTATTCCTAATATTAACTTATCAAACTATTACACACACTGCGAAAGCTTTTTCGAAGCGTGTCTTAGGTCAGATGACATACCTCGACAGTAAATGGAAAATAAACATTATATTTTAAATAAAATAAAATTTTTAATAATTTTAAAAAATCAAATAAAAAAAATAAAAATATCTAAAGAAAACCTTTTTTTTTAAAATAATATGGAATGTTGAGATTGCGCATGCGTTAAATGTTTTAATTGAAAATCGATTGTTTTAATTGAAAATCGCATTGTTTTAATTGATTGTCGCTGTGTTTTAAATGGTTGTCATTATTGTTTTAAATGGATGTAAAAACCTGCTCTTTCAATCAATTTTAATCACTTTTGTAAATCAAAGTTTTTTTTTTTTATTTTAAAATTTTTACAAAGTATTTCTGACATAGACAACTTTTCTACACCCAGATAAAGCAAATTAAAAAAAAAATCGCTGCACTTTATTCACCAAGTAAGTAAATATTGTTTTCAAATTTTACAAAGTTAAGTATGCAACTGAAAATGCATGTAAGTTTAAAAAAGTTATATAGTTTTAAGTTTTAAGTTAAATACTTCTTAGAGATATTAAAACAGAATTTAAAAAAAAATGGGGGTTGTTCTAATTAAAAACTAAATAAGCAAAGTTTTATCTCCAAAATAAGTGGCTTGTTTTTATACAAAAGGTTATGTTTTTAAATTTAAGTTAGCAAATTAAAAAATATTTTTTTAGGTATGGTCACGTGGCAAAAGAAGACAAATGGCACAAGACAACCCAAGGATGCACAATTCAGAAATATCCAAGCGATTAGGAGCAGAATGGAAATGTCTGACACAGCAAGAAAAGCAACCCTTTATCGGTTAGTAAAAAATTAGGATTTGAAATTTAAAGTTACTTATAATTATCATTTTGAAAATTTTTACTTGCGGAATTAATGAAATAAAGATAAAAAGCATAATATGTTCATATAGATGAAGCAAAACGCCTTCGTGCTGTTCATATTCAGGAACACCCCGATTACAAGTATAAGCCAAAAAGAAGAAAACAAAAAACTACTAAAAAAGATATATATACGCCTTACCCAAGTATTGGTCAAGGAATGGTTCCCAATATTGATTCTAAATATGCTTCAATTGGCTATCAACCGACACTAAGCTACGGAATGAGCTCAGATATGTATAACAAATTGAACGGAGGTTACGGTTACCAGACAACAATTAGCACCGGTTACCCTTTAATGTATTCTAATTACAGCGTTGGGCCAAGTATGGTAGGTTCTCACTCTCAATCTTCTCCTACTGGAGCACATCAATCATACCCATCTTCTACAATAACTTCACAAATTGGTACACCTGTCATAACAGATTCCACATACCGTGTTTCGACGTCAGACTATATTAATAGTAAAAATTATTTTTCAAACATGAACAGTCCTTATAGTCCGGTAGATTCAGCTGCTACCTCAACTCATTCTCAAAATCGATATCCTACTACAGACGAAAACAGAAATATTGTAAATCACGCACATTCTGTTGGAAACGGAATGGTATCGAAGTTAATACAAGAACACGATGTTCAGTCTAATTTTCCAGACAACGCTGTAAATAGAAACTGGTCATTAAATTTTTCTTCTGTTTAGTTTTCACATATTTATGAGTTACTATAGTTACTATTCAAACTAAAGTTGCCATGTTGGATTTTAACATGAGATGTATCTTAGTTAGGCTAGATATTTTGATACTCGATTTAAAACTTACGAGTATGTTATAATTTTATAATCTATGTTTGCAAGAAATCAAATGTACGGTAAACTTCACATGGAGTTTTTTATTTTTTGTGTTTTTATTGATTCTTTTTCTCAAAATTATTTTTTATTTTTGTAAATATTTATTCTAACAAAGAACTTTAAGAAAGTTTTTTTGCAACGATAAACTTTTTTTTTTTTAATTTATCAAGATTTTCTAATAACAAAAAATAAAAAATTATTTTCATATCAAAATTTCCAAATTTTTCTTAATCTAAATATTGTTAACCAGTATTTTATAGTTTTTTGTTTTTTGAGTATTTATGCATCAAATGTATATAGTTTGGCACATTTTATGAAAATATGCAGTCTAAAATCTATTTAAAAGAAATATATGTGCTCAGAAATAAACTTAAAGCTTTATTAACTACGATGAGAAATAAAAAATAGGGTGTCTTTAACTCTGGAAATGATTTTCAACCTAATTTTTTTTTTAAACAATCAATATTTGATAAAGTATAATCATTTGCTGCTGGTTTTAAGAAGTTCTATATATATAGTTACTTTTTAAAAGAGTTGGTTTGGTGCTCTGGGAAAAAATATTTTGTTACTAGAACATGTAGCTAAAGGAGTTAAGATATATTCTAGAGGAATTTATTTGGAACTTGTTTTAAGATGTTTCAAACGTTTTATGTTTGCATTTGCACACTATAGTGTGCACACTATAGTGTGCATTTAAGTTTTACTTTATTACATTTGCATGAAAAGCTAAGCAATTTGATTTTATATTTAAATGAAAAACAATTTTTGCTAACGGCAGATTATAAAAGTTTCTTATTTTCCAATAAGAAACTTTTATAATCTGCCGTCCGACCGTAGTTCTCTAGAATCTCTTCTGGTAATTGCGAATGGTGTAACAATGCCTACATGCTGGCCTAATAAAGACTCCTTTTTAAATGTAATGCATACGCATAATTAGATAAGAGTATTCCCTCAAAAACCTTTATACATCAGAAAAAGAAGAAGAAGAAAATTAACCATGTCAATATTAAAATAATCAATAAAAAAAATATCATTGTCATACAACAAACAAACCAACTTATGAGCTGTCTTTGTTTGTATAGTTTTATATATTTATCTTTAATTCACCTGAGTTTAGGAAGTACTGTGAAGGTTTGCATGCTATTTTATTTAGATTCAGAAGACGTATTACTTTTTCAGCTTAGAATGAAATCCAAGTTTCTCACTTTCACAATTTAGTGACGATTTGAAAGCAATACAACTACAATACTTATATCACATGTCATTGTTATAATAATTACAGTTAAAATATATTTAGTTAATAGTTAATGCTTGAAACATTAAACAGACTAGGTGAATAAAAAAAAGCAGTTGCAATTTAGCGTTTTTGGAGTTATTGTTTTGCTTTACATGAATATGAATTTGAGCAAATCCGATCAAACTTTTATTCACGTAAAGTTGAGCAGTTGCTGAGGAAAAACAAATTCTTGTTTTTATTCTCGCTCCCTGTAAGCATACCAACAAAATGGTACTAAATTATTGTGAAGAGCTTTAGTTTAAACAGAAGGAGGAACTTACTCTTACTTTTTACTGGTTACCAATCCACTCTGGTCGGATTTCTTCCCCATTATCAGTCATACAAACTAATAACAAATAGTTATAAATATTTTGCTAACTTATGCAAGAGCCGTTGCTAATTGATAAGTTTTATCCGTTTTATTAAGTTTTAACCGTTTTATGGGAGAAAATACCTCAGATTTCACACTTGCGTGATCGGTTGTGTATTTTTAACAAAAACTCTTTAATAATAATAATAAAAAAAGAGTATTTCTTAAGAACGCTTAATCACTAGTTAGATAAAGAGTATATTGTAAAATTCAATGCAATAAATAGTTCTATTTTTATTTGATTAAGCTTCCTTTAATAGAAACATATTCAGATATATTGAAATCCATAAGTAATAACAATCGCTTCATTTTTAAAATGCTCAAGTACACGTACATAGAAGCATTTTTTGTTTGTTGTAGAATTTTTTGAGTTTTGTATGGATGATAAAAGCCTACCAACATTGCAGTAAGCCATATAAATGAGCCATATAAAGAGAGTTGAAATTTTTTTTAAAAATGATATTTAGAAAACATTTAGCGCTAAAATATAAATGAGATTTTAGTATCAATGCTATTTATATGAGAATACCACTTTTCATTCACTTTTAATCCTAAAAAGTTTACAGATGTTTACTTTATACTAATATAAAATTTTTAAAACCAAATTTAAAATTTGGTAGTTTATAATGTCGTTTAATGAGCAGTTATATTTACTACAATGAAAACATAGTTTTTTCATCTGAAGCAAATCTAGTTTATAACTCGTTCTTTAAAACATTTTTTGAAGTTTATGATGCAAACATTCCTTTATGCGAAGTTAATGATGCAAACATTCCTTTATGCAAAATTTAAAGTAAGTAGGTAATAAGGAAATTTAATGGACTTTTACAAAAAAAGCCATTTCACAATTTCTACATATAACACATATATGTTAAAATAATATTTCATAAAATAAGGGCTGGCAGTGATTGTCTAATCATAAATAACGATATTTTTGTTGTAAAAAAAGCTTTGCAGAGAATTAGAGGCCTTAACTAAACATTTAGATCTAAATTTTGAGCCAATGTATTAATTTAGCTCATATGTTTAGTTTTAGTTTCCCATTCTCTACTTGGCAAAATACATTAATAATACAATTGATCGAAAATGTCCGCAGTTTTTTTACGGACATGATAATTATATTTTAAAGCAATAATATTTCTGATGTTCTTGATTATTACCCTGATCACTGTCAATGGGTCGATTTTTATTTTATTAAACATGTGGTGGCATCTGCTGTTCCATATTGCACTCGTAATGGTTTGAGTGAACGTCGACAGCAGTTGCGAAATAGGGTTCTTCTCCAATAAATTCGCTATTATAATTGAGGAGACCAAATTTATCGGAGAGAAATGTTTTTGGGGTGTCAAGGAGTTATATACATCTTTAAAATACTCCCATATTTCAACAGAAGGAGGACAGTAGGCAAATATGTGGATGTTGTCCTCAATTTTATTGCAAGTTTTGCATTTGTTGTTTTATGATCAGTTGCCTTGTGCTTTTGGCTAGCAAGGCCGCAGAAAGTAGACTGTTGTGTAGAAATCGAAAGAGGATATTTTGAGTTGGTCCGCATGCGTGGGAGTTATAGTTTTTCTTCCAAACTTAGGACCACGGCATTGTTGCTTTTGTTGAACCGTTCCAGAAAAGTTCTTTTTGTTTTTGCCATTTCTAAATAAAAGTTTTTTGTTGATTTTAGGGGAATGTTAATAAGGGACCCATTTTTGCCTAATTTTTCAATTGTTGTTTTTAGTACTGAGATATTTTGTTACCCCAGTGTTTTGGAAAATTGTTCTGTTTCAAAAAGTTCCAGCTTTGGTTTTGGTTTGTAAACTTTACAAGTGAACTTGTTACCCAGTACTTTGAAAAGTAGTAATAATCATAAGTTTTATCCTCTTCGCATTCATTTAGTTGAAAGAGTTTTTTGAGGCGAAGTGCAAGGCTTTGCTCCTTCGGCAATAAAACTCCGAGACCCCCGTTTTTGACGGGTAAGAAAAGTGTCTTTCTTTTGACCGGATTGAAATTGGTCTTTTGCCACAGAATTTCGAAAATGGCACTGTGTAAACGTTCAATTACCCATTCGGGAACAGGCAGCACGTTTGCCAGAAACCACACTTTTGACATTGCTAACGTATTTATCAACATTGCTAACTTATTTATCAGTCTATTCCCTAAGTGACAAAGTTCGTAGTTCCAGAAGCTTGAATTTTTTTCTCTATTTTGTTTAGAGTTACTAGCCAGTTGAAATTCGTAGTATTACTCAATCTGGTGTAAAACGTAACACCCAAAATTTTGAAACCGGTGTTATTGATCCACACTATGTTGTCCAATTCTGGGTACATTTTAAGAATGAAACCCCCAAGAGCAAAACCCTTGGTTTTTGAGGCATTGATCACTGAACCACTTGTTTTTTCAAATAGTTTTACCGTTTCGAAAAAAAGCAGACTGGTTTTACGTCCCTGGCAAAAAAGTTCGAATCATCTGCGTACTGATGTAATTTAAGGGGTTACGTGTTCCTGGTAGTGAGAAACCCTCAATTTTGCTGTCTATTCTGATCCCCAAAGCGAGAGCTTCGGCGACAAAAACATACAGCAAAAGAGAGAGGGTATCGTCTTTTCTAACTCCCCTTCCGGTAGGGAAAGAGGATGACAAGAAAGAGCAATTCAGAACAGTTACCGAAATTTCTGAATATAGGGTGTTAACAAAAAATACAAAATTTTCTCCGAAATTAAATTTTTAGAGAATCTGCAGCAGAAACGCACTATAGACTTTGTCAAAAGTCTTCTCTGGATATATTGATAAAATGAAACTAGGTAGATTTTTAAATTCCGCGTAATCTATCAGATTACGAACTAAATGTAAATTTGAAAAAATTCTACTACCTATAATTCCGCAAGTTTGATTTGGTTTTATAATTTTCCCCATTACTTTTGTAAGTCTCAGAGCCAGCGCTTTCGTGATTATTTTGTAATCAGCGCCGATTAAAGATTTAGGCCTCCAATTTTTGTATTTAGTTAGATCTCCTTGATTGGGAATCAGTGAAACTATTGATTTTTTCATAGAGTGGCTTGTATTTTTTTCTAAAAAAAGAATTTCGTTGGCAAGTTTTTCAAAATCTTCTTCTAAAACGTGCTAAAAAGTTTTGTAAAATTCAGCTGGAAATCCGTCATAGCCCAGAGATTTTCCGTTTTCAAATTTAGAAAAGGGTTTCTTTTAGTTCCCCGCCGGTGAGGCGGGTGTTTAAAAATTGATTTTCATCATCACTTAAACGTTTAGTGATGTGTAACAAGACATAGTTTTAGCTGTTTTTGCATAAGTTTGTTTTGGTGTAAATATTTTTATAATATGTTGATAGAGTGTTTAGTATTTCATCAGGTTCACTCGTCAATGTACCGTCATTCTTGCGAATATCGGTAATTGACTTGTTCCGCTGTTAAGTTTTTTCCAAATTATACAAAAATTTTGAAAGTTTTTCTCCTACTTCGATTAGTTTTTGTTTCGTACAAATAAACGCTCCGGGTCACTGGAGCAAGAAAAGAGCATCGCGTTTTTCTTTGATGCCATCTAAATTCGGGTTAGCGTTTTGTATTTCGTTTGTATTTTCGCTCCCGTTGTATTTCGTTTTTAATCCTTTTGATGTGTTTTTTGCTTTTCGCACTTTCCTGTATCAATATATGTTGTAATTCTACCCTTACAAAAAAGTTTGCAGTCGTCCCACCATTTTAAAATAGACTCGTAGGACCGTTT